GGGCCGCTCTCGCCGGCAGAGCCTGCCCCTGAACCCCAAGCCCTTCCTGAACGGGCTGACGGGGAAGCCGGTGATGGTGAAGCTCAAGTGGGGGATGGAGTACAAGGGCTACCTCGTCTCCGTCGACGGTTACATGAACATGCAGGTGAGGCGGCGGTCGGTGGGGCGCGTTGCCGGGGCACGCTGAGGTCTTTCGGGCTGGGGCAGCCCTGTGCTCGACTCAGAGCACCCGCTGCTTGGGGGAGGTGGGGGGACAGGCACTTTTAAAGGATCTGTAGTGTCTCTGCTGCGGGCTCGACCGGAGCCAGGTGAGAGCTGCGCATGGCCTCCTGCGATCAAGGTGGCCAGACAGCAGCCGGTGGGCAAAACGTGGTGCTTTCTGTGAGGTTTTCTATTACGATCACTTTAACGCTTGTTGGTTTCCTTCTTAAGCTTGCAAACACAGAAGAGTATATAGATGGCGCCTTGTCTGGACACCTTGGTGAAGTTTTGATAAGGTAAGGTAATTGGGGCTCTTATGGTGGAGGCAGAGTCTTTCTAAATTTTTTCACATCAGTTGTGCTAAAACTTGTAATGCTAGGTGCTGTGTTTCCTGTGTAAGTATATACCAAAATAAGCATTAATGTAATTCCTGGGCAAAGACTACAAACTCTTTTATGCTGAGATTCCTCCTGAAGAGAGGAAAACTGAATTTTGAAGTAGTCGTAAATAAATATTTATGATGCCTCTCTTAAGTAATTGAATGCCTTAGTTTTCCCGAGTATTGTAGATTATTAATCCCTTAGCGTTGGTAGAGTAAAATTTTACATGCTTGCATATTAAGCTTGACCATAATTGTTAATCCAAAAGTAAAATTGTCTTGTACAGCATTGTTAATCAGTTAATACTTTAAAAAAACTTATTTTTTGCAGTTATAATGAATTTTGTGGAAAAGCTGTGCAAGGTCAACAGCAACAATTTACTATGCAGAATTTTGCTGTTGCTGGGCTACTGTCGTACAGGAAAATGCCTAAAATGATGTATATGTGAGGAAAATTAAAACCTATATTTACAGCTAAGGGAATTTTTTGATTCTGTTTACAGGTGCAATAATGTTTTGTACATCAGAGGTGTGGAAGAAGAAGAAGAAGATGGAGAAATGAGGGAATAGGTGTTTTGTATATCTGGAAATAAACTTTTTTCTTTTTTATTTTCCACAACTTTGTAATAAGGTGTTTACTTCTCGTTCTCTGTATTTTAATATGGAGGAAGCTAATGCTTAAATCACTTGTAATCTCTAAATGGCATCTGGAAAAACTAATGCTGGAGGAAGAAGAAATTGTTGCAGTTTGAAACTGAGAAACTCAGAGTGAAAAGTGAGTATTAAAAGTATTGTCATACGTTGAGACTGGTAATACTTAAAAGCTTTGGGTTTCGGTTGTTTTGTTTTTTAAGGCGATCATTTGAATTTAAGTGATTCCCAGAGCTGAATTAAATCTTCCAAGCTGTGTACTCTGGGAGAAAATATATGGCTCATTCTTTTATCAGCTCCATTTAGTATCAGTACTTGGCTGTCAGGTAGCCATAATGCAGTGCAGGCTAGCATATAATGGAAGATAAAGAACTCCCCGTCTTGTGTACGTGGCTTGTTCTGCTGCTCTAAGCTGAATGGATGAGTAGAGTGAAGGAGCTTGCAGGAACAGCCTTTTCTCTCTCTAATGGTGATGATGCAGGCTGTAGAATGAGCAGTGGCACAAACCTTTTAAAAACATCTTGATGTGCCTGCTGCAGAGTACTGGTGCTTTCCTAATGATTCCTTTTGCTCTCAACTGGTTGATTAAGAAGACAGCCATAATGCTGTGTTAACCCTGTTTTCAGTAGGAAGTAAGTTTCACCTCTAAGTGAAAAACTCTGAGTCATCTTCAGTATTTGCAGGGACTTCATCTTTAACTACCTTCTTTGCTTTAACGGCTGGAGGCTGTGAACGAAATACCAGTCGTCTTCCCGTCTGAAACACAGGAAAATACAGCAGTGTATATACTTTACAGTATGTACATAGTTGCTATTAGAATACACTTCATCTTTAAATGTGTTTACAAACTATTTGGAAGTAGTTGCAAAGACCCCACAGTAGATGAAATACAGAGATCCACTATAGTGCAGTGTCTCTAAGAAACACTCTGCTTCTCTGAGTAATGAAGCAAGCCTGAAGTATGGTTGTAGAATCATTATTAAGGAAAGATGCAATCGTACTGACTTTGTAGCTAATATCCACACAAAGAGGAGACTGTTAGCTCCCATAAATGTCACAGAATCACAGAATGGCCAAGGTTGGAAGGGACCTCTGGAGATCATCTAGTCCCCTGCGCAAGCAGGGTCATCTAGAGCATGTTGCACGGGATCATGTCCAGGTGGGTTTTGAATATCTCCCGAGGATGAAGACTCCACACCCTCTCTGGGCAACCTTTTAGTGCTCTGTCACCCTCACAGTAAGTAAAGAAGTTTTTTCTCAGGTTTAGGTGGAACTTCCCGTGTTTCAGTTTGTGCCCGTCGCCTCTTGTCCTATTGCTGGGCACCACGGAGAAGAGTCTGGCCCCATCCTCTTGGCAGCCTCCCTTCAGATACTTGTACCCGTTGGTGAGATCCCTTCTCAGTCTTCTCTTCAGGCTAAACAGGCACAGCTCTCTCAGCCTTTCTTCAGAGGAGAGATGCTCCAGGCCCCTCATCATCTTTGTAGCCCTCCGCTGGACTCACTGCAATAGCTAGCTCCATGTCTCTCTTGGACTGGGGAGCCCAGAATGGGACACAGTACTCCAGATGCGGCCTCCCCAGGGCTGAGGAGAGGGGCAGGATCACCTCCCTCCACCTGCTGGCAACACTCTGCCTAATGCACCCCAGGACACCACTGGCCTTCTTGGCCACAAGGGCACATTGCTGCCTCATGCTTAACTTGTCTACCAGGAAACCCAGGTCCTTCTCTGCAGAGCTGCTTTCCAGCACGTCAACCCCCAGCCTGTCCTGGTGCATGGGGTTATTCCTCCCCAGGTGCAGGACCCTGCACTTGCCTTTGTTGAACTTCATGGGGTTCCTCTCCACCCAGCTCTCTGGCCTGTCCAGGTCCCTCAGAATGGCAGCACAGCCTTCTGGTGTGTCAGCCACTCCTCCTAGTTTAGTATCATCAGTAAACTTGCTGAGGGTGCCCTCTGTCCCTTCATCCAGATCATCGATGAACAGGTTAAACAATACTGGACTAAGTATTGACCCCTGGGGGACACTGCCAGTTACAAGCCTCCATAAATGTCAGTGGCATTAATAGTTAAGACAACATAATACAAGTGGCAGTATACTTTCTGAGTTTCTGTCATAAAGAAAACTTCTCTCTGTCACCAGGCATCTAGAATATTAAGATTTTGGCCGAAGTGTGTAACCTTGTTTTTTAATTGTTAAGAGTAAGCGTGGAGGCTAACTTACTATCAGCATTTTTTTAATGAAAATAGAACATTGCTGTGCCAAGACTGTCAGTCAAAGACTCCCTGTTTGAGGCTGTGATGAGGTCTTAGTAGAGCTAAGAGTGTCTCTAACTGTAAATTCAGTTTGGAAAGGCATTCTACAAATCAGAACGCCAATAGCTAGAGGTGTAGTTCATGAATGCAAGTTAGAACCATTGTGTTACTTTGATGGGCCTTAGCATTACTGTACTTGCACTGCAGAGTGAATGCCTCCTGTACTTCTGCTGTGAACTACAGAATATTACCCCTGTTTTACAGATGGGGAATGGAGCAAAAATGGGAAGTGACCCAGCTGCATAAGCAGATCTCACTGACAAGGGACAGGGTTCTGGCTCTAAGTTCCATATCAGTGGCTTGCTGAACTGCTGGCTAAGTCACTGCAACTTCTGTACCTGAATTCTATCTGAAAAATGGAAATGATGGCACTGTTTCCTTTCTCAGAGTGTTTTGAAGTAAGGAGGGGGAAAGTTCTGTACAAAAGTTAAGTAGATGGTAACTGTTGTGGGGCACAAACTGAATATAGGTCTCCTTGTCCTTAGGCTAGGATCGTGCATCCCTTGAAAGATGACTGCAGTGAAAGACGAGTGGGTGCTTTGGGCTGTATTTGGAAAGAACAGCGGTTATGTGAATTAGAGAAGAAACTGTGCTGGGACAGCTACTATGGAGATAGGTTGCCCTGTTTCTTTTTCATTTTGGAAGTCATCCATGTGGCTGTATGTGTATTCGTTTAATGTTTACACCTGTATGTTGCCACAAAAAGTGAAAAATCACAAAGGATATACTTGGGAAGAACTTTTCTTACTTAAACCAGTCCCTTCCTTTTGCCAACTTAAAGGCTTACTTCCCCATTCTGTTAAAGAAGTATCTTATGGTGCTATCAGGAAAGGGAAAAAGAACTATTTAACCTAAAAAAGAACTATTTAACCTAAATGTTAGTGTTAACAAAAGAATAATCCAGTACTTTTAAACTGGCTATGAATTTAGGAGACTTCTTAAAACAATTAGAACAAATGTGTTCTGGATTGTTTTCAGTGGCAAGAATGAGAGGCAAACAAGTCTGGTTTATATAGTTGACAGATTCTTCAGTTAGAGTGTGTAGGCTCGTAGAAGCTTTTCTGCCAGCATAGCTGTATGCTTCTCCAGATAATTTTAACCAAGCCAACATGCACTTCTTGTCAAGATAGAGCTGTTATTTCACAGATGATTTTTTTTCTCACATGGCTATGTCCACTAAGAGGAGTGATGTCTTCCTATTCTGTATTTTCACACAAGTAGATGAGTAAATCTCTAGGTTAGACTAAGCTTTAAGGAGCTTTCCTTTTTTCCTTGTAAAGATCTCCCCCTAAGCTGCCATTAGAATTTTTTTTTAAGTCAAATAATCCAACTGGTAAACATCTGCTCTTATAGAAATAAGGAAGTATACTATTAATCTTTTAATGATTGTTTCAAGTGTACTCCTGTAAGGGCTGAAATTGAATCAAATACCAATCAGAAAATTTAACTAGTAAGCAGTCAACTAGTAAGTAACAGTAGCCTTGATCCTTTCCTGTATGTTCAGCAATAAATACTTGCATATTTTAACTTAATCTAAGAGCAGGAAAATCTAAAATTACATATAATTTGTAATACTGCATTTCCTTCATTATTGTACTCTTGTATACAGATGTAAAAAAAAAAAAAAAAAAAATTAAAGTCAAGGTGGATTATTACAGTTGACGGCATATTCCCAATGCTGAACAACTGTTCTTCCTGGGCTTTTTCAAACACTGATGGAAAAGAAAAGTACCTCCAGAAGCTAAGTTGTACTTCTCCTCTGAAACAATGCTCTTCAGGAAGCACTCCCTGCACTTTCTTTCTGTATATAGTAGCACAGAGGGACTAACATCCTGTGTTGGGAAGGTATTCCCACTTCCTATGCTTGTCCTTCCAAGGAGTTGGCAAAATGCTGCACTGAAATTGAAGGCTTATACAAAATATTATCCATTTATGTCAATTCAGGATTGACTGTCCATTTAGTTTGTGATTCCCTAGAGCAGTAGAGACATGTCACCAGCAAATACCACCTAGGTGACAATGGCAAATAGTAGATGGCAAATATTTTGAATGTCTGTCAGCCCCTTCAGCTGTAAACTCAGCTGTCTATCAATTATTTATCTTCTCAATTAAAAGGATTTTGAGCTGTATTTGCAGGGTGAAGATGCTTTTGTGTATAGCTGTTATGGAAACAATTCGACCCTAGGTCTCTGAGGAGCAGAGTCTCACGTATGTCTAGCAGCGAAATTAATTATTTATTTATATGAAGTTACAGCATAGTAACAGCTCGAGCTGTGTGCCTCCGGGGAGGGACCCCGACCAAAGAAATTCTGGGGTAATTATACCCCTTGCAGTTTTATTTCCCCGCCTGCCAGTGAAGGTCTCCTCCAATCTTCTTTACTGAGTCAATGGTCTTTCTTCTGACAGGTCCTGCCCTACATCCCAGGCTGGTTGCCATGTCCTTGTTTCCCACAGTCCTTTATCTTCTTGAAGGTCAACCACAACCCAGGTGCATCCCATCTTTTCTCCTGCATTCTACTTTGTATCCTTATTAGCAAGTTTTGTATCTTTATTAGCTGTTTTTAATTGGTTTTGCAGTTACGTCATCGGCAACATCACATCTTCAGCAACGTTTCTCAGGTTCACTGACAGTTCAGCCTTGAGGCCTGCAGGCTTCATCTGCTTTAGGCGCTTATGCTAAGTAAGAGTCAGACTTATGCTAAGCTGAGGCAAGTCAGCTACAATTTCCTTCTCTAACAGCGCCGAAGCTAAATCAGTTACAATTTCCTTCTCTAACAATAGTACAGTTTCCCCGGAACTTAAGTTATGCAGAATAAGAAGGTGTTTATAGTTGTGTTAGTAAGTTAGTCAACTGCTTTTTAAGGTAAAGCCCACAGAGTTAACTCTGTTTCTTCATCTACTATCACTGTGTTTACTGAAGAAGGACACAGTAGTGAGTAACTGCGGGAAAAGGTAATGGGTCGTTATTATGCGTGTGCCTCCTATACAGGAAAGAGCTCATCTTAATAATTAGGATTAAAGGCACTAGAGATGAATTTCCACAAGGAGAATATCTTTGGGTGGCATTATGAAACAATGAAAGAACAGGCTAAGAACAAACCTTTTTCTTTGGTTCTGAAATAGCTCTCTGTAGAGAAGACTTTAGACGTTCTGTCTGAAGTTCCTTTTCTTGTTTCAGTTTTAATTCACGTAACCTGTAGTGGACATGGAAGAGGAAATGCCTGAGAAACTCATAAGGAAGAAATAAGATGGAAAAAGCTTGTGATTTTAAAAAGGAAGAAACTGTGTTAACCTGAGAGGCAATAAACACTTTTGAAATGGGAGTTGGTCAGGAAGGATTGGGTTCTGTTTGTCAACAGCTTAGGAAAACAAAGCAAGCAGTCATCTAGAAGAAACTGATGAACCGGGGCTACTAATTGCATGGTAGGCTGTCATACGGTAATCAAAACTCAAGCTCCCTGTTTAGGCTCTGATTACATAAACTGTCAATGTGACTACTTCCTCAACTAAACAGAGGCATGTATGTACATACATGCAGAAGGATATCTCTTGGGTCATGCTGTATGGACAAGCATGCTCAATCCCTTCAATGAGGGTAAAGAAAATATTTCTGCCTTGCAGAAAGTGTTAAAGCCCTCTGGTGATTCATAGCAAGCATGCTTCCTCCACTTCCATTCCTTTGGGGCAGAGAATTCTTAAATGTTGAACAAGGATGCTTGTTAGAGAAATAGTTGTGTGTGGTGTGTGGTTTTTTTTTTTTTTTTTTTGCTAGAAGAAATCTTAGCACAAGGAAGACTCACAGCAGTTTAAAATGAGTAGAAACCTCTGTTTGAAGGAAACTTCTAGCAGCAAAAAAAGAAAAAAAGAGGGAGGGGAGCATTTTGTGCATGTTGTTCTGAATGTGGCAGATTCTCTCCAACTTTAAATAGGCTGCTGATATTCCAGGACAGACATCCTGTATCCTTCATCTGGAAAGCAGCCACCTCGTTTTTGTTTCTTTTTGCAAGGGACTATTGAGAAATGAATCAGAATACTGAGACATTTACATATGACCTTTCAAAAGACACATCTGATGTACACTATAAAAAACCAGAACTTAATTTTTTGTCAAAATACTTGCAAAGCATTATAAATTATAATAGTAAATATTACAAACTAAAAACTGATGGTTTGAAACCATGATATAGAACAAATTGACAGGACTAAAGATTTAATATTTCTGTAGAGTACAATAATATAACTGGAGCCACTTAATGTCAACATGGTATTAAACAATATTTCTGCATTTTTTTAGTACATGGAAAAGTACATTATAGTTCTTCAAAAACAACTGAGTGATCATCATATTAAATTTGTTTTTCTGGCCAATTGTAAACTTAAAATTTGGTGCACCATGCAAGCAAGGAGTGTTTGGCAATTTTGTTAGAAAATTCCATCTCCATGATACCTAACTGGTAGTATTTGTATCAAGTACAGTGTGTGTAAAATGTTATCTTTTTAACAAAAGAAGCACAAGAGGGAAAGAAACAGGAATAAAAAATGTTCCATCCATTCGTTTTCTTTATCACAGCCAGTAAATTCTTGCAGGCTGGTCTGATGTTCCTGCTTATAGAATGACCAAAGCACCAGTGTAATAATATATTTTAGCAGCCATCTCTATGGACTTACATGCTGATTCTCTGCATATATTACATAGCTTAGGCTGTATTCCTTGCTCCTATTGATTTCACTGGCAAAAGTCCTTCCAATTTACAGTGAGCATAATCAAGCCTACAGCCTATCCTGATTGTGTTTGTCTCCTAACTGGACTGCATAGTAAACTAAAAGGTGTTTGCTACTACGAATAGAGTAGGCACTTACTAGTTGACATAGGAACCCCATCCACCTCATAATATATGTGTCAGAATTTCGTTGTACTTGTGTATGAAGAAACAGTGATATTATTTGTAACAGTATCTTTATGTACAACTCAAGCTCTGTAAGAATCCATGAAGTAAGATCTGTATGAGAAGAGATGTATAGGCACATTTCTCCTATCATCTTCTTTTGGATTTCTTAGAGAACAGTGCAGCACAAAATTCAAGTAAGCTGTAATGTGTAGGTAGGGAGGATTATTCTTCCAGCAAATGTAAAGTACAGTTTGAACACATTTTAGCAGATATGCAGTATCATTCAATAATCTGTTTTCCCTTATTTTAGTATCAGTGACGCAGATTTAAAAAAAAAAAATCATTATGTATATGTCATCATTACATAGTACCATTGTGCTTAGAGAGCTGTGTCCCAGATTGGAATCCAACTATATTTGGTATTTGACACTGTGCAAAATGAAAATGACATTGAAAAGACAATTTCTACCTTCCCTGAGGTACTTAGTCAACCAATGAATTCTAGAAACCATAGGTATATTACTTTCAAGTATGTACTAGCTAGTAGTCAAGTGTATGGCATATAAACAGCTTCTGCTATACTCTGGGTACCGGTAAAAATGGTTTAGAGGACAGAAAAAAACAACAACTATCAGCTTTTAGTGGGGAACTTAATAATGAGACCACAAAAGAACAAACTAGACGAGATCATCCAAATTTCATGCAGAGTGGATTTTTTACCTTTTCCTTTTCTCATTCATCTTTCTTTTCTCAGCTCTTTCAATAACTTCTCTTGGGATTGTTTCCATTAATTCACACAGTTCTTCTATTCGATCCTCAATTCTTTTCAACATTTGAATTGAGCTAAGATTTGATGCAGCTTCTGTTCCAACACTAAATTTATATACTTCTGCAATCTTTTCATTAAGCAAATCCAGCATTCTGTCCTTAAAAGTAAAAATAAACTCATGACAAATCTACAAAAAATATAGCAAAAGTAGTATTTCTACTTATTTGTGAAAATCCTGTGAAAATGGCAGTATGTAATTTTGATGTGCATTTACATCAGTGTGACAGACATCTGTTATCACATCAGTAACAGGAGAACCTTTGTATGTTATGTGAACTGTTGAATAAACCGAACAATATTCTTCCAAATCTTTCTTGTTTGCTAACTGGAGTTCATCTTTTTGAGATGGCAGGCAGCTGTCTGTGTGTTGGCTCAGCGACCCATCGCAGGCAACAGCAATGTAGCCAATGTAGAGGTCCTTCTTATGACAGCTTAATGGTAAATTAAAAAGCAGGTAAGCTTACCTGTTTGGCTAATAAAATGTGGTTACACTTCCTGTTCAGTGTTCCAGGCGCTCAATGGGAAAAGGATACATTCTGTATTATGAGCAAGAAAACTCACGACTGCACTACTGCCTCCTGCCTCCAATTGAACAAAGTTTGGGGACAGTAGCCATTCAGTGCTTTTTCAGCTAAAGATATAATAGGATGCAGAGGGTAAAGAAGGTAGGTCATAGAACATATGAATGGGTAAGTAGTTTTTTGTTTTTGGAGGACACGTATATGTGGTCGTGCTCTATACTAAACAGTAGTTTGCTCTATGCTAAACAACTAAACAGCTGACAAGGAAAGGCCGTGATACTTCATCTAAAATGAAACTGCAAAGTTTTCCATGCTAAAGGGAGCTTGCTCACTGGATGTTTCTTCTAATGGAACATGCAGAATGTTCAAATATCAAACATAAGAATATTGCTCAGAGAACCAGTTGAGCAGTGCCTGTGCCCTAAGAAAATGGTCTCTGATATCTATTCCAACTTAGCCAGTGAACTTAACCTATTACATCTACTGATCCACATACTAGACTACCTAAAGAAAGGAGTGCTTCATCTTTAGGCAGAAGGCTGGAGAGCTTCAGACATGTAGGGCAATTAGCTTAGTTTCATCATAATTAGAATGAAGCTTGTGGAAGAAAACATAAATTGATTTCAATAAGAATCACAGAATGGCCGAGGTTGGAAGGGACCTCTGGAGATCATCTAGTCCAACCCCCCTGCTCAAGCAGGGTCATCTAGAACGCATTGCATAGGATCGTGTCCAGGCGGGTTTTGAAAATTCTGGTATGCGAGACCTGAACTTTTTATATGACTCAAAGGGCATCATCAAAAGAATGGAAAACTGTATGGCAGTGCAAGGGGGGAGGGAGAGAGCAAGCCCTATACTTCCCATTACTCTTAGCTGATGTGATGGTTGTTGCACGATCACCTTCAGGCCGAGGCCAGTCAATAACTGAAAAATGTCCTGGAGGTACTTCCAAGTCTTTTCTAAAGACTCCCTTTGACAAGCCAACATTCTAGTCAGAGTTGGTTTGATTTTCCCTTGAATCTCCTTGGTGCTATCACATAGGTGTTTAATTTAGTATAGGCAGTGTGAGTTTGACCTGCCAAAAATTGTAGGAGCATTTTGTGAACTAGGTATTTGGCGATATGAAAATTAAATATCCTGGAAGGTGGAAGTTATTGAAACCCAATTGTCTGGGTTTAGTGAAAGCTGTGGGGGCCAGGTGACCATTCTGAACTTTATACAGTGGATCTAAGCAAGGAAAAAAATTGAACAGGCTTCCCCTATCTTCTATTCTACAGAGAAACTGTGAAAATAAAATTTTTCCTGTGTGTTGCAAAAGAACCTCTTCTAAACATCAGAAAGGGGTAAATAATGTCTTCAGCAAATAGCCCATCATGGAAGACAACTTTAACAGAGACAGGTTGGAGTGTTAGGTTTAATTTGGAATTAAAACACGTCATTAGCATAGTGACTATTTTTGGATTCACTTCCCTTTCAATAAAGTTGCATAACCCTTGACGGAAGTAGTTTTCCCAAAGGTGATGAAGTAATAGCAAGATCCAGAGAATGGAATACTTTCTGAGCGCTTGATAATCCTCTCAAATACGGAACATGTTTACTTTGAGGAAAAAGTAGAACACTTTTTGTGAAACCTTTTTAGAAGTCTGTCTGGATCTGTGGTAGGATTAAGTTTGTAAAACTATGTTCAATCTTTTAGACTGTGCCTTTTGGTATGCCTTTTTTGTTTCAGGATTATAGACTACTAAAGAACAGAGTGCAGTATTAGAATTCTTAGATATCTGAAGAGTATTATCTGATTTCCCAGTCAAGACCATCACCTCATTGTCCTTGGTGAGGATAAATACTGCATTATTACTTTGCAGTGGAACATGAGATGACACTCATAATGTTGAGAAGTTTTTACCAGAAGTGATTGTGACTTTTCAGCTTTATCTGTGACATGAAAGATACATCTTTACAAATACAAGCATCTTTCTAAGATAAAAGTGGTTTCAGGCAAGAAGTGTGTTTTTCTAAAAAGAAGAAAGAAAGATTTCTAGCATTTGTTTACTCTCCTAAAATGAATTGCTCTATATGGGGTCACTTCCTAAAATCAGACTATGAATTGACTGGATTTGAGTTGCCAGATATAATTCTGGCTCACACTGAGAGCAGAGCAAAGGTATCATTTATTATGTCCACATGATCTCAGTGTATTTTCCTTAAGCAAAACCACATGATTCTTAAACTGTAGTCTCAGATATCAACCCCTATTCAGCCTCTTTCTCATCTACATTTTTCAAAAATGTGGCTCTTTATATCCTTGTGCAGGTGTACAATTCTACACAATTTATGTTCTATTAACACACTCTGCAGCCCAGTTTTCAAAGTATATACTCTAAGGGCAAAAAAAAAAAGTCCTCTCAAGTTATCTTTTTTATCTGTTTTCTTAACGTCATCAACTAGCAGATTTATTGTACCCTAACTGCAAAAGGAGAACTATCTGGCTTCTGTTTCAGTGACTTGTGTGGCCACAGACAGTAATGAGGTAATAGTAATAATAAAGACAAAAATAATATATTAGGCATGGAGCAGAAAGAGATCTTCAGAGTACCTTATACTTCTGTTGTACCTTTAGTACAACACATATATGAATTCCCATCCTAGCAGCTCTATTAATTCCTTGATATTCTTCTTTCATGGATACAAATAAGAATTTGTTTCTAAACTTGTGAACCAAAATTTTGTTTTTTTGAAATGTGTTTTGCAAAAAAGATACCTGGATTTCTGAACTAAACTCTCCAACAGAAAACACCTTAGTTTTTAGCGCCAACTGGGTGCTTTTTTCTTCTTCTCTAATACAGGCTGCTTCTAGCACCTCTTTGTGTCTAGCCAGGATCCTTATTTTGTCAGCTCTGTGGTAAAAACAGAAAAAGTCTCAGTCTTCACATGAGCAGATCCATTTGTAGAGTAAGATCAATCAGCAGTTTACCCAGATCATTCAGAAAGCTACTAAAATATTAGAAACCAACCATTACAGTAGCTTCTCAGCACTCCTGAATCTAGTTATCAGATACGTCGCATTACTCATATTAATGGGGTGTGGAAATCTCTTAGCTAACACTAACAAGCTATCTTCTGAACCAGTATTTGCTACTTCAGCTAGACTGCTCCCTATACCCAGTCTAGCTTGTCAGAACTAATTTAAGTATCTCTGTTTTGTGATGTGTAGAACAGAATCTGGTTTAACCTTCCAGACAAAATACAGAAGATTTTTTTTGTTTGTTTGTCATCCTAAACAAGCTCACAATTAGAAACCAGACTATGTAGCTGGAATAAAATTGTTTGAACTTCACTAGAGTAACTGTCTATAGTCATTGTTGGCAAATACAGTAACACAAGGCAAGTCTGCAGAATATAAACAACAAATGAAGATGGATTTATAAATTTTGAACTATTTAAACATTAAGAAAAAAAATCCTGTACACTCATACAGGTATATTAATATACCTCAAATATGCTGGCAGACAAAAGGTCTGGATACATAACATTCTATACACACCAAGACAAACGTACATATTCATATGTATCATGTCCTTTTGCCTTGAAATGCAGTCACCTTTGTGTTAGTGCATACTAGCTCTTTAAGGTAGGAAGCAAAGAAGGATCTCCTGCCCTTGAGAGAACAGAAAAAGTATAGTTACACTTCTACTAAAATGTATTGGGAGCTTGCAGACCAATCCCCCAGCCCCTGAGATTCTTGGCTGACAATAAGTTGGGGTGTGGACAATTTAGATAGCAGCACGAGGATCCTCCTTCTCCTCTACTCCACTACAACATGATCAAGAACTTGCGGACCTCAAGAATTACAATTGAGACACATACAAAACATAGATAAGGTTCATTGTCTACCTGCTGTGAACCCAAGAGACAACCTAATAAGCTAAAATTTTGATTTTCTAATATGCATTTCCAATACGCAGACAGATAAAATCTTACAAGTTTTCCTTTATAGCATTGGTTGTGTATGCAATTTCATCCACTGTTTCTCCTAAATCTTGAATAGTTCGAATCAATGCAAGGTTTTGTTCTTCTAGATCATGGAAAATCTGAAGCAACTGTTTTGGATCAGTGAAATATATCTCTGGCACCTAAGACAGGAGGAAAGATGCATAGTATCTATTGGTCAGGAAGTGACACGTTGCGTAACCTCAGATTCCTTGCAATATCTTTCTTATAAAGTTTAAAACATTACACAAACACTGAGGTCAAACACAGCCGATGGAAATTAAGAAGGAGGCTGAGATTTGTGTGGCCCTTCTACTAGGACAATACAGAGCAGCTGCAGCTGTGCATCCTAGCCTGAGGCTCAATACATGCTCCCTCCTCCAGACTGTTTTTGCCCCAAGTTGCTGCAAAATGCATGTAATAAAAGCAATACTGATCTTGTTTTCCAGAAAACAATTAAATCAAAAAGTATCATTTCATTACCACATCACAGTCCACATCTTCTATGGGAAAGTCATACGTTACACTGTCCATCCTATTTTCCCACCTACTAAAAAGAGGAGAAATAATAGTTCTTGGTTTCTGAGCCTCAAATACCAATTCTACAAGATAGTTCCTGTGGTCTTCTTTATTCCGAAGGAAGCTGAATAGTTTCATCATCATACAAGATGTTGTCAACTCAACTCAGTTTATGTCTTAATACCTGTGTAAGGAGATTATCTGTCCAAAACAGCCTTGATTTCCTAGACAACGAAAACTGAGAGTGAAGAGAGAAGCTGAAGACTTTAACCAATAGAATTTACCTTATCTGACTGACCTTATTTCTTCAGTAAAATTACTGCCTGTGTTATGCGTTTTCAGAAGTCTTCAGAACTGTACATATACTCCCAGGAACAGATTTCACCCTGACTTTTAAAATAACTGTTACTGTATACAACTATGAATAAGCAATACACAGATATTACTATGTAGGCAAAACAAGCAATTGGCTTGATCTCAGTAGTTCATACACAGCCTTAGAGATGAGAGAGCTCTTCGAACAAGTTCCAGCACATAATTAAGAGCAAAACCAAGGTACAGCTAAGGCTTCCATCTTCACATGTAAAACTTGGCTACAATTGTTACAGCATAGCTCCAACAACAACTAGTAAGTCCATAGTAAAACTGGACAGCTAAGAAGCAACCTTAAGCGCAATGGCTGGATAGAGCAGTGACATCTGCTACTTCAAAGACAGTATGGAAGATAAAAATGAAAAATACACTTAACAACAGTGCTGCAGTTTATTTACACACTTTTACCCACTGTTTCTGCTATTCTCTCTTCGTTTATTTCTTTGACTTACTCCTAGAGCCATAACTACCAACTGGCAGCTACAAGGCAGCTGTTTAACTGATTGCATCAGGAGCTTCCAAGATACTTTCACATGATCCTGATTTTTTTTTTTTTCCTAACAGATGCTAATGCTCAGAACTTAAGGAAACTTCAGGCAGAAGAATGCATAAATATGCACCCTTCCCACTGCCTGGCTTTGACTATCCTACCAGACTCTTGTAAAAGAGGGTAGAAGAATTTCTAATATACCACCCCTCTTACTACTGCGAAGAGGGGAAATTAAGAAAAACACGTTTGTTGGGGGGTTGGCTCCCTTTAGAATATATTTTTTTTCCTTTATATACTCATAGATGAAGAAGGTAAACTGGAAATGGTAAACACTGTTCCTTGTATTGTACCTCGGTGATGACGCTCTGCTTTCAGTCGATCCTGATCTGAATTCATTCCATGTTTCCGCTCCTTCTTCTAGTCCTAGCTTAAAATACCTGGAGTCATCTTCAAAACAGGAAGAGATAAAATGATATTTCCAAGCAAATATACATTATTTAGCTGGGCACTATACCCTCTCCCTTTCTTTGAAATGTTGGGAGATAGGTTCTTCATGCATAGAGGCATGTACTTTCAATTATTCTATAATTTTAATTCAATCATTACACATACATTCAATAAACAAATATTTTCATGATTTGCCAGTAAAGGTTACTGTAAGCCGTAGGCATGTAGCAGGGTTTGTCTTTCTCAGGGAAGAGGAAGACCTTTCCTAACTTAGTATCCAGAGTTCATACCTCTAATAAGGGGCAGAACTGTCTTTTGTGGACCAGTCTCACGGGTAGTGAGCATTTTCTTCTTGTATCCTGCACTCTTCTCTGTAATTGCCACAGGTTTGCCTTTCTGCTTTGATGTTTGCATTCTGGCTGAAGATATAAACAGAACTGCAACATCTTCCCGCAATAAATGTGTCTAAACTGACAATAAAAGTAGCTGTACTTTGTGTACTGTTATATTATAAAGTATATGCAAAATATAAGAACAGAATCTCTATGCAGAATAAATCAAATGAACTTACGAGATATACAAGTAGTGCAAAAAATAATATGCATGGGAAATGGTCTTTAACTGTATGCATTATGCACACAAGAATCTTGCCGTGATCTAGCTAAATTCAGTCTTAAATTGTATTTGGTAGTATGCGCTAGCTCTTTAGTCATCAGTCTGATCTACCTCTTGTGAGTATTGTTCTTCATCTCTCAAAACCTCTTTATGCAGTTAAACCACCCTGTGTGGTTACAGAGATAAGCATAAATGAATTTAAAATACATCTTTAATTTAACTAGCATTACTTAAATATGGGCAAAGCTTACCTAAAAATTACAGTAGAGGCTTGTAAGGAAAAAGAGATGTCTAGTGTTAGTGGGCTAGGTTAAATATCAGGCTTCAGAATTATAACTGGGACGGGGGAAAGGGACAACGAGCGGGCAGAAAAGAGTGGATGGTGGCGAAGGGTATGTTCTGGTCACATTTGTTACCTAGAACTGTAAAGAATATACTTTAAAAAATCACAAGCCAAGCTCATAAATATCACAACTCAGGTTGAAACTCAATATTTAAAAAAAAAAAAAAAAAAAAAAAAAAAAAAGGATTCCTGTCTTTTATTTTCTGGATACTTAAAGTTTACTGGCTGCATTTTTAAGTTTTTCTCCCAATAAAAATATTTTATTAAAAAAAAGAAAGCTCAGATTTTGACAAATCCTTTTGATAGAAGCAGCTGAATTGAGAAATATCAAATGCAGAGCCCAAAATAAAATCACTTTTGGCAATGGTACATTGATGGGAAAGAACTCTTAATCTGAGCCCCCTTTTCCCCCAAATTTGTGGGATCTATATAGGTTTAAATTCTGAACCTTAGTCACTTTTGTAGATTCTGCTTATATTTTCAGGATGCATTTGTCTAAACAAAGGGGGGGAAACTTACATTGTAGTTGGCTTTGCCCAGCATGGAAGAGGTTGGGAGTTTTGTGCATCTTTCCCTTCCTGTAGACTGAAATGACATGTAACTAGTTCCTTCCGGTTGTTCTCTTTTTCCTTTTCTGCTCTTGCTTCCATCCTTTTCGCTTTTTGCTGTTCTTGCCAATCTTTTGGAGAAAGCTCCATCAAAAAAGCTTCATAGTGTAAGGACTCCTGGAGGAGAAACTCAGCATCTGAGATTTCACTGCAAAAATAAATTTTAGAGTTTACAGTTAATATATTAGCAGCATGGTCACCTTGATTAAGATATAGTGATTAAGATTCAAATTATTTTAGTCATGTTTTATAATAATAAACTTGCGAGCATGGATTACTGGAAAAGCCTCTCACCTCTAGACCAGAAGATACAGGTTCCAGTTCCATATTACTCATTTCAGCTCCAGCTTTATAGTGAAACGAATGTGAAGTTTCTTATCTGATTCCCCTCTGCTTTTTCAAGTTCATTTACCACTTCTACCCTCCTGTATCACTCCTGTTACACTCCCCACAGTAGGGCTCAGACCTGAACCGAGTTTATGGAGATTAGAGGGCTAATCTCCACTCTTCCAATAAGGCCATCAAAAGAATTCTTCCAAGACTGCAGCAAGCACTCTATTAGCATCAAGACCAATTTGATATAATGTGCTAATTAACAGCACATGCCAAAGCTATGTTTTGAACACTCATTTTGTAGGCTGCCAAAACAGGCTGAACAGGGCAAGAAGCTACTAGTGGGGGGAGAAATTACCGGGTAACAAAAATAACATCCTCATTCTCCTGCGCTTTTCTCTGCGTTCCTAAGAAAAGGGAAGTAGCACATAGTGCTTCAGAGTAGGAGGGGACTAAGCACACAAGCAGTAGCAGATGGAAGAGACTTGTTCCACTCTTTCTCACATATAGTGCAAGGAATTATGTGAAACTTTCACACAATGGAATTCACTTTCCAGGTCTTACTCAGCTGCAATTTGTATGCTTCACTCCAAGATACTCCAAATTTCTTAGTTGAATTCTGTTGGGAATACCAAAGTTTGCCAATGAGTTTAATGAAGAGTCCTTGCTAAATTTCTCTTTTCTTCTGACACTGAAGCTGTTCCTTGTAGGTATTTTCAGGTCCTTATGAGTGTGTTTCAGGAGCTTTGGTCTTTGTATCCTCAACTGGGGAATGCAGGTCCTTTTCTACTTAGTAAGTTCAAAATTACTTTGGGAACACAGGATTACTTCTATATCCCCTTCTTTCTTTCTGTATTAATTATCTGAACTATCCTGAAAGGTAGCAGAATATTTCCATTGCTTTGGAAATGCTTTCATTTCTGATTTTCTGCTGGGTATGAAAGCATCTGAATCTAAACATTCATACCCCAGACAGGATCCAGCATCTTTTCTGAGATAGGAGGGAACATGGGCCTCCCAAAGGAACACAGTAATTGTATGACTTCCTGCTCTGTCTTCTGAAAGAAGACCAGTAGCTCCTGAATCCAATATCTGGTCCAATATAATGCCATATTCATTTAGGTGTCCTCATTTCTGAAGTACACTAAAAGCCTGGACATTTGTTTCCCAGGTATGTCCCCTATCCTGAAAGACTGCTTCCACTAAAAGGATTCAAGAGTCTAAAATAAAATTTGTGTGGAATTTAACTATACTATTGTTGTGACCTACCTGCTTTCAGCTCTGATCTCAACAGGACACCTCATTTTGCACTGCGAGCAATGAAAAATGTGAACCGTTCCATGTCTGCAGATGGACTTTCCATAAAGCTCTTTTGGAAAATGATGCTTCCCTCACTCATAGGAGATAAAATGCCTACAGATAATGAGTGCCAACACCTGACTGATTAAATGAAGCTTTAAAGCTTTGCAAGTCTCTCCCATGATTACGTTCCTGCTGCACAATTTTGAAAACTCTACTGAATTTTGGATCCACTACAGCTGCTGTCCTGTTTCTAAGTACAGTAAATCAAATAGCCTACTAATGTATCTCAGTGCAACTTTTGCTTTACTGCGGCAATTACCAGCTGCTTCTCATGCTAGATGCAGAAAGTGGATCCATATACAGTCCTTGGAGATAGGTACTTCTACCAGTCAATAATACTCTGGGAGCAGCTTCTTCTACTTGGGAGTCTACTTTAGAAAGCAAGACTCAGTTTGAGCAAACAAAAGAATTCTTCATTTATCCCTATTATCTCGTAACAGTGGAGCTTCACAAAAGACAAAATTCCTTTGTTCCTCTGATGTAGTCCCTAGCCTGCTTTAGACATGGTAGTATGGTGTAAAAGGCAGAGGTAGAGACCCTTTTCAGCTTTTTGAAGACTCCAAGCCCCCTTTCCCAACAGGACTGGTACAGGTACATTATACTGAAGCCTAGGACTAGGCTATATGGACACAAGAGGCTTTTGAGAAGCCTTAGACATGCTACAGGTTGTGTTACTACCTTACTTGGTTTGAATAAGGAGAAGAGCTGTGTAATGGAAGGTAATTAGGGAATAAAACCAGCATCATGGCTGTCTTCCCATCTTGGGGTTAAACATGTATGCCAAAAGCTGGATACGAGCTTTTGGTATACTGCTCAAATCAAAGCCTGACTGTGGTCCTGCAACAGATTTCTAGGCAGGCACCATGGAGAGCTCAGTGCCAGCTCAGCACCAGCGTCTGTCTGCCCAGTCTGTGCACCACCGATAATAGTTCAATGCAAAGATGGCTAAAAGAATATATTTGACATGAGGAAAAAAGGCCTATAAATGCAATTTCATACCTCAGCATATTCACAAGTGTGTTTATCTTTCAGGTTAAACACTTTATTTGCCATCTGCACAAGATCACCAGTGTTTCGAGCTATTTAAAATGAAAGTCTGAGAGACAAATTAGTCATGAGTGTAATTCCACAAATATTCAGCTAGTGCTGGTTATTTAACAATAAACAAGGACAAATAAATCACTCTGCTTACTGATTTCAGTTCTGCTGCTTGGCCACCAAATGTGGTAGAGTCCTGCAAGCACTCTGTTTTTCATTCACTTTTTTCATACTAAATCTGAATGTTTCCCTAAGTAAAAACACTCCAATAAAAAACGCAAGAGTGAATCCACAAGCTAACCCCAAAACTTAGCTTATAACAAATTTTCTAGTAAAAAAACTGTTTTGCTCTTTGCGCCTCACATATCCCCTCCACACTTCTCCTATTACCTCTGTGTCTTTCCAGAAAGGCACAATGAAAGAGATTACTCATACAAATAAAACTATATGAAGACCCCCACAATCTAGCAAAACAGCATTTGGGTTGCTAGGAGAACAGGAGACACTTTCTTCCACTTACAGTCTTGACCATTTCAAATGCTGGTACAGAATACAGCCATCTGATCCTGCGCTGATCTAAAGCAAAGGGTCCACTTTCAAATACTGAGAGAGAGAAGATAGTGTGGCACACACAAGCTAGGAAAGCACTTTGCAAGAAAAGGCAAGGGGCTTCTGTTTAATGCAAAAATGTTTAATCGGGAAGCCAGTAGTGAAATGGATGAAGAGGACTGATGTAAAATAGTGATGAAGAGTACCGTTTGGTCACAGTGTTTGGGCTCAACGTCAACAAGGCAAAATTCATTTCCTGGGCTTCCTTCCAGTCCCTAGAATTATTGCTATGTACAAGCTTGGTTCATCAGTCTTAGATTGTTCTCTGCACTATTCAGCTAGGTTTGTTAAATCATCAAATTCATTTAACTCTCTTAGTCATGATTCACAGATTTGAAAACAAGCATGTACTTATTCAATTGTAGTTGCAGAATTTCTTCCCCAGCATTGTTTTTTAGAAGATCAAGGCCATAATAAAAAAAATAAAAAATAAAAATAAGAATAAGTAAGATTACTGTCTCACCTTCTAAGCGTACAAATTTCTTTAACAGCTGACTTTACGTATGTTGCCATTTTCATTTTGGACTTTTTTTCTTTACTTGCACTACAGAGAAATACAGAAATATATGAGAATCACATCTGCACCATTTTTCAGTGGATCAAAAACTAAAAGGTATCGTAACAGTAACAGACTAACTTTCTAAACGCATTGATGGCACTTATACTATTTCGACCAAGAAATTCTTCAAACGCAATAAATTCTTTTTCTAACTTTTCTTCTGCAGATCTTGCTTCTTTCTCCTTCTGTACTGTTAACTCTTCCAGATGCTTTACAGTTTGTTTTTTTTCTGTTACTGCATACTGAGAAAACAAGAGTAACATAAAAAATTCTGACTGAAATATGTTATGCATTTCCATAACATCACTTCAGCTAGCAAGTTAAACTTCATAAAGCATATGGTTAGGCAACTACAATCAGTTCTCCTATACAATAATGCTCATAAAACATAATGTCAATAAATAATAAAAATCAAGAATACGCTATGCTTTTCAGCCACATTACACACATCATTTCTTAGCTATCCTCTCACTCTCTTATTTGTCTTCGGCAGCAGCAAAGTCTTGAACACAACAGGTCTTCTTCCAGTGGAAAAAAGGTTCTTATCCAGAATGCAAGCGGAAACCAGCTAGTAGCTGGTGTTCAGTACATACAGCATTGAGCTGTCCTGCTCTTGAGCTGATAGTGTCTGCTGATACTCTGCCGTAAACCACGAAAAAATAAATGATGCTGAAAAACTCGCAATGCAAAACTTCCAAGCAAGGCCTGACCTATGACCAAAGTAACCCTGGGGAACTGGGGAGAATATGATGGGGGGAGGAATGAAACAACCCACAAACAACTTTATACCAACAAGGATGAGAGAGTCTACATTTTTATCAGATTCATGGAAGACTCCTGCAAATATTTAAACTAGTTGGTAAGCTTTGCCCATCTGAGTAGTTCGCTGATGCATAGACAAGACTGCTGGTAAAAGCACTTTTCTGTAACAGGCAGATCCATCTCAACTAATGTTAGGTAGCAATTCTAGGTAATAGACCTAAGCTTGTTCTATAGTCACAGTAGGAGAAGACAGGCATCCTATGAACGGTTCATCCTATCATAAAATGGTTGGCTTAGAAAGGTGTGATAAGTCATCCCTGAGAAATGTCTATCTTTTTCCATTGCCTATACAGGGATGACTAGTTTGGACTAGCCACTTAAAGTCTAGAATATCTAAAATTACATTAGCTTAATCAGATTAGGTGAGATTAATCCAGACATCAGAAATTACAGGGGAAGGCCTAGAGATTGCATAGGTGGGACCTCTCACCACTGTCAATATTCAAATGGGCAAAGGCTCATTCAAGCAGCTTTCCCAGTTCATATTTAATTTATTGTGATTTTAAAAGCTAGGCTTAATAGAAAGTTCCAGCCATAACGAGACATGCATTTTTAAAGTACCTGCTGTAGAAACAGATCTTTCTGTTCACTGATGTATTCTGTTATAGGCTGTTTATCACTCTGGCAACCTTTTGAGAAAATTTAACTCACGTTAATCACAGTATGTTAGTATATTCCTCAAAATGCTATGGAATAAGAATTGAAAGACAACATTTGCTTTCAAGAATTCATGTTTGTTTTTACCTACTTTAGTTTGACAAGAAAAATAAATGATTGACATATATTGGTATAAGGATTTGTAATAAAGAATTAACAGATTATTTATCCCTGCAGTTCTAATTCTGGGGCACCTTACAGATCACAACAGTTTTCTGTAACAAATATACCTTTACAGCAGACTGCAGCAGCTGTAGTGTGCTGACAGGAAGAAAAATGACAGTTAATCATAAAGTCTCACGCTCCCTTCAAAGGTGGATATGCTTCCAAATCTTTTTTCAACATCCCTTGAAGGACAAATTATGGAAAGAAATGAATCTGTGTGAACTGTTGTGTTTTTTATAAAGAGTCCCAGGCAAATCAGTAGCTTCCTGTGGAAGGACATAGTTCTAGATAAAGACTTTGGCCTTAAAACCAACATTTTACCTAGATGAAAAAGGTTAAAATTCTATGAAAATCTACACTAAGACGAATAATACAAAAGGAAAGACAAGAAGAGTGTACTTACATTTTGCAAAAGCAACAGCCCAGTTGGAAATAGGAAAACATACATCCTTTTCTTCTTTAATCTGTGTTTTTCTTTCAAAAGCTGAGATCACATGCTTTGTAAAGTTTTGAGTTTTCATTCTCGATGAAAGCGTGCTCTTTTCATGTAGCTTCAAATTCTTTTGAGCTTTTTTGTCCTGCATCTACCGGTTTTTTGATAGGTACATTCATTACACTGCAAACTCAGAAAGACATTTTTCTTTCTGCATAGCACCAGGCATCAAAAACAGTGAATAAATAATACCGTGGAATATAACTTGACCACAACTGATCTTAGTTATCCCTCTATACCCACACAGTGCAAAGATGCATGCAAGTATTTATCTTTGCTGTCACAAAGCGTTCCATTTATTTCAACGGGAGAACTCATGTAGGTAAAGTTAGACAAGGAATTACATATGCTTAATTCAGATTTTGATCCTAATAGTCTGAAAAGAATTACAACATAGATGAAGTTAAGATACTCTGAGTATATCAAGGCGATTGAAGCTGGTCCTTAGTTTGTATGGCATAACCATCATGAATATAAACAGGTTCTTCCCTTCTTCTGGAGCAAGTCCAAAAGGCAGAACAATTACAAACATTCACACATATTATGTGTGTATTAAAGAAACAAATAAGAGGGTTCATGACTTTACTTTTGAAACATATGGTATAAAAAGTAACTAAAAATAAAATGCTTTCTTGTGTTCAAGTTGTTCAAATTGTTTATTATAGAATAAAAGAAATCAGAGACAAAGTAGTAGGACACTCCATCAGCAAAAGATTATGCCCTAAAAAATTGCATACTAACTAAGCTAAGACATTACTTGGTCAAAAAAAGCAAAAAGATTTATAGCAACTCACAAGACATGCAAAACGTAGTTTTGAACTTAATTTCTGTTTTGTTCATTTAAGAACAGGTTGTTTGCTGTTCATTTTTTATTTCTTGGAAACCCTTACATTCCTAGGAACAGCCAAAAAAGACTACAGTCTGAGGGGTCCCTAAATTCCAATTGTTGCTAAGAGACAACATACGCTGCAAATTCTCATTCTATTTTGTGCAAATCACTGACTGCAAAGAATGCTGGCATGATGCCAGTTCCTATGTCTGGATGTGTATTCTGTCCATATGCTCACTCCTGACAACAGGTCCTGTGCCACAGGTGCACACAAGCTCTCTTCTTTGGCTTCTCTGTAGTTTCTGCAAGAAGGAATCCTAGGTTGGAAAGGTTCTGCTGTTCTCAAAAAGAAACTTCCCTGTGGAATTAGGTCCCCTGGGGCAGGTTAAGTCTCGACACATCCACTGAAGACCTAATTTGACAACATACTTGAGCACAAGCACGCTCAGCGACTGCACTGAAGCTAGGCAAGCGTTCAAAGCAAGGAAGGACATGGCTCTGCTAGGTTCTGCATCACCAGGGGTTTATGGAATTTACCAAAAAGGTTAGTAAGACAGAATCGGAGAACAGACAGGTGATTTAGAAAGCTAGTCCGAGCAAACGCAAAGTTTCCACGGTTTGAGAGATGCAAAGTTTTCAAGAACAGGAAAAAGAAAATGCAGAACTCCTTCATTTTACTACTGCAAAGCTATGCCAAAAATAATTGTAAATTTGATGTAAAACTGAAGTAATCGACTATAACGGAAGCTAGGTGTACATAACGAATACGCAACTTCGTCTGGATCAATTCCACATTTGAAAATCAATTTGTTCCATTTGATGCAAATTCCAGGCTTGATGATGAGTGGTCAGTAACCTCCACTACTTTTACAAACAGGGAAATACCATTCAATAAATTTCACTGGCAAATAACTTCAATACATGCATATTTTCTCCTTTCAGGACACTTGATCACACTGTGTGTATTATTGTAAAGGATTATGAACTCTATCTAGCAGATGAAAAAAATGACACATTTAAGGAAAATTTAGGTGGCATTTGGACTGAAACTCAGATCTTGATACCCAGTCCGGGGCCTTTCCTATTAGATTGCATGCTGTTTAAAAGAATGAACATTCTACAATAACTCTGACAGCGCATTTGAAAAGACCTTCTCTGAGGAATTGCAAGCGTATCATGTGCCTACACAAAGCATCAGCAAAAAGACCTGAAATCTGTTAAATTGATAACCTGATATTCAACTGAATTTTTACTTATCACTTTCACTATTTTTTCCCTGTCTAGTCTTTCTACTATCTTGCTTAGTTTAAGCTTTTGGTTAAATGAATCATTTTCCAACCAAAACTGGCAAACTTAAGAAACTTAAAATACCCAAAGATAATAACACAAGCAATACGACCATAGGCCATTATCATTCAAACTGACAATTTTAGGAACACATACCTTTTCAGTGGACCAAGACTCAGCATCTCTGTAAAGAACTGGCTTTCCGTCTTTTACTGTGAAGGGAGTTATCTTCTTTTGAATGTTTTTATCAACATCTATACAATTTTGCAGAAAAATGTTATAATTAGATACTACTTAAAATATCACCTTTTAAAATTCATTTCGAAATGCACTTTTACTGGATCATTACGGTTGTGATTCAAGCCCACTAAACTTAAGAAATTTAGTTGGGGTTCCTCTTTTAACTCTACCTTCCTACCTTTACGTCAAATGAACTTTGACATTAACATTTTCTAAACGCAGCCCAGTTTTTAGAATCTACTTGTTATATCAAACTGAAGAAATTCTTGGCGATATGACCTACAGACCACTCCTGCATTGACCCCTCTGGGCAGTACTTTTAAAAATATATCCGACACTGAACCTCTGAAACCACTGGTTTTGCAGTGGATTGGCCTTTTTCTTTGTAAGCTGATTTACTAAAGGGGAACATCTTCAACAGAAAAGAACTGGGGCATGTGCAAATACACAGCCACACCTAGGTTCCAGGCTTCTGCAGGCAGAACATAACGCTGAGAACGAAACACACCCCTATCTCACTGAGCATAAAATCTACACCTATTCTGAGGATTCAGGTCAGGATCTGCCTTTGCTTCTCTGAGAAGGCCAGGGCACACAACTGAAGTTTATCCTTAGAGCATAACTGGACATTTCTCAGAGCTATTAAGTGAAACAAGAATTTATCTTTCTTTTTATCCCCCTTTTACCAAAACTAATTTTATGAGTGGCTGGAGATTGAGGCTGGATCACTGGAAATAAAGCTGCAGAAGTCATCTTTGTTCTTCAAAAGTCTCTCTGGAATCGCTGAAATAGACACAAGGCAAGAAAAGTGTAGGTGTGAGAAACGCAAATGTAATAAGCATTGAAGCCACTTTGACTTCTAGTCCTTGCTCACAGAACTGGATGGCCAGGCATGCAAATAAGTATGGGGATATGCAAATATAGGTTGGAATTTAATGTTCACTTGCTCTCTCAAGGGCATAAACAGCAGCTCACTGAGCATTCACCCCAAAACATTTGTGAATACAAGGAAGATGATTTTGCAGTAATTGAACTACCATAAGACAGTGCCACAATGAAGCTGCTCAGCTCCTACAGTAGATCTCTTTATTGCCATCCTACCACATACAGAGGGGAACAAGCTGGAGCAGGGGGTGCTCCCTTCTGCTCCGTCTGTATCATCCTTTCTCCATTGCTTTTATTGGCAGGACTGATCTGGTGAGGGCCAAGTTCCACCACAACATGCTGCGCTTCATTCGTAACGCACCAGGTCTCACATGACCACTGTTGCTTACGCATCACCCCCATGGAGTATCTTTCTGCCCTCGCAATGATTCTGTTGTAATGTTCCTCTTTAATTTCTGTTCTCATTACATACTGTGGTACTGCTGGGGAAAGCCAAAATAAGCAGCAGGAACTGCTGGAAGTAGTAAAGCACCATCTACCACCTCGCTTGTTAATCCTTTGCATGTGTAGCAAGAAATACTTAGAAGGAAGATAAAAATTATGTCATAGTGCAGTACTGAAAAAGTAGAACAGTATCACAAGAGCCCACCCAACACTATCACAGTTTCACTGACTTTTCAGGTCTGTTTGTAAATGCAGTCAACAAAATGCTGGGTTTTAGCTGCATATGTGCCTCATTTGAAGATTGGACTATACCAGAAAGGCTCATTCAAAGAGCCAATATATCCCTCTGTTTCTAGTGTACAGGAATATATGTGCGTATATACACATACGTGTATTTAAAGCATTATAAACTGATCTCCTTTCCAAAATAAAAAAATATTAGCACATATTGAAGATCATAACCACCAGTCGGGCGTTTGTGGGTCCACCTATGAAGAAGTATTACAAGAGCCCAGCCCTGATTAACAGGAAGATATGATCCTAGGCAGTGTAAGAACAACCGGAAATTGTGTTGATCGGCCAGTTGGGGATTACTGGACCCCCATACTCGCAAGGGACACTGGAAGAGAGAAGCCAACTGAAAACCTCCCCTGAGAGCATGTATTTCTTCCCCAAGTCTCCCACTCTCCTTCTGCAGGGGGCAGTAGACTCCAACAAACCTCTTGATCATGGAGTCGTGGACCACGGAGATAAATTGGTGTGGGGTATAGCTGCCTAAATATCCTGCAGGCCAGGGTGGGGGGGACCACACTCCCTCAGGAACAGCGCCGGGACGCCGGCGAGGCCTGGCGCGCCGTGAGGGTCAGGACGCCGGTGGAGAAACATCCCAAATGACCAACCGAAACGTTCCAGGTGGCTGGCCCCACTGCCCCCCAGCCAGCTGGGGCTCCCTCCCGGAGGGAAGCCAGCAGGCACCCGGTTGTCTCAGCAAAGGGAAATCTCCAGGCAGGGCAGCGCAGCCTGGAAGACCCCCAAAATCCTCAGCTAGCAAAAGTGCCCCTTTGGCCCCTTATAAATCAGCGCAACTTACAGCTGTTCTTATGTCACCGAAGGGTCCGTCGAGAGCGGTATTCCTCACCTAGCCAAATTCACTTGTAAAGTGCTGTGGTGTATTCAGCCCGGATTTCTGTCAAGCATCAAACGTGGCACCGGTGAGGGTGGGTCCGCGCCGCTCGCTCACCTCACCTGCATGCCAGGCAGTTTAGAGGAACCATCCCATCTTTTTGCCTTCGCCTGCCCTGCTGGAAGGGTATTTCGCTTCCGACCGCTACGTTTTTTTATGCTTTGCTACGAGGTTAGCTAACAACCAGCTGGGAGAAGGGCGTGAATAAAAGACCCCGGGCCCTGATGGTCCCTAGGGGCTGTTGAGGAGGGAGGGGAGCACCTG